ATGGAGTCTTGTAGGAGATGGGATTGTAGATGCCATCCAAGAATGCTTGTTGAATTGTAAGTTGAAAACCCGAAAGGGCGACTTGGGCAAAAAGGGTTTCCCGGTGGACTGAAAACACGAAAGGGTGGTCCAGGCAAAAGTTAGGGAATTAAAGCGTATGAATATGTCCCGTCGGATCAATCGATAGAAAACCTTTGGCTTCTATTGACAAACTCGAAGTTTCTGATCAATTCAATCATCTTCGGACGAAGCAACAAATATATAAGATATTCAGAGATATGAAGGCTATAGCAGAATGGGAACCCCATGGGATTATTACACATAACTATCTTTATCTGTATAAATTTTTCTTGTCCATTTTTGTACAAAAAACACTTACTCAAAGTCAATACAAAGATATCCCTTTGAAAGTGCAAAAACTATTTGTCTTTTTCTTTACGCTTGTGTTTTGTTTGAAAAAACGTCCAATGATTCATTGATGAACATATGCATTTGAACATAATTACTGTTTACAAATAAACAAAATGAGGAAGACAATTACTGATAGGTTGAAAGAATAGGGAAATGTCTCTAGGCTGTTACCCAAGAAATCCCCACAATATGTCATTTAAATCCCCAGCGGAACAAAGTTTCAAATTATTAATCCCCAGTAGAAGTTGTCAAATTTCTCAGGATTTCCCAAGCAGATCTTACAAGCAGTACATGACATTACCCTCACAACAAAATTTACTTCTCTCGACAAAAGTTCACCAGTAGCAGAATGTGCCCCACTGTGTGACAAATGTTATTTTCTCCATGTCCTCAGGTGCCATTTTGATTTGGTTATAACTTGAGAATCCGTCCATGAAGGAAAACACTTTGTGTTGAGCCGTATTGTCAACCAGGATATCGATGTGGGGAAGTGGAAAATCATCTTTAGGGCTTGTGCTATTCAAATATCTATAGTCCATGCACATTCGTACTTTGCCATCTTTTTTAGGTACGGGAACAATGTTGGCAACCCATTGAAGGTAGGAAGTGACAACCAAGAATCTAACATTGAATTGCTTCATGACCTCCGCTTTGATCTTTTCTGACATATCAGGTCTCATGC